TTAAAAAGGGCACTCAGTACACGTAACTAATCTGTGTAGAAAGTACATACATGTATAAAAGAAAAAGACATTATCATTAATACCTTATTTAATGATCCTAAAAAAATACATGTAGTATCTTCCTCAAATGTATGCATACATAGAAAATGTATAAGCTAGTGTGAAATATAAATGGGCTGTCCGGTTTTTTTCCCTCTACGAAATGTCAAAGTTGGGTGGCGGCGCTGCGGCCTTATCGCCGGCAAATACGGTACATGTTTAACCTACACTGTATATTGTTTGTCACCTGTGATATCGGCACAGCAAGAGTTAAGAATAATCAACCAAACAACCAACCAACAAATCCATCCATCCTTTCATCAATCGGTCATCAAGTAAATAAATAAATACTTTTTTAAGAGCATTAAAAAATGTTGTCGTTTGAAACAGCCTCCTAATACAAATAGTGGTAAAGGATGATTGTTACTACAGTAGCGTAGGGATTTATTTTGAACTTCTGAAACTCCCCTTTAAATCCATCCCTTTCATATTAATAGGTCATCCCTAAATCGCATTCACCCTTTTCATCCACCATCCTTTATTCTATCTATCTCTCTCTCATTGGTTTCCGTGTTCACCTGATGCAGTCAAGTTTAAAATATAATTTACATATACTATGAATATTCAATATATACCCTTTGTTTATGTTTGAATATTCAGGAATTCTTTCTGATGCTGATTTATACTTGTAATAGACTATATGAATATTTATTGGTTTCTTCTACTTTGCATGGAATGTATGTGGAATGCTACATAGAATGCTCTAATGCTTTTACACATTAAAACCTGGTCAGTTAGCCAGTAGTTATTAATCCTACAACATGTCTGTTGGGCTGCCTATGTGTTAAGAGTGCTAGGAATTATCTGTTAGAACCGCAACCCTACAGTAGTATTATAACCTAAAACATACAACATTTTAAAATACATCTAAAATGTCTCATTCTCGAGATGGACATAAATTAGGATTCACTTATTTCTTATTACTTACATGACTGGGGGTACTTTTTTATAGTTTTATTTTTTATTTTTTTTCTTCAATTTTTTGCTTACATACATGTATGCCTTAGTGATATTATTGAATGACACACTATATAGTTGAAGGCAAAGAACATTAGCAAGCTGATTAAACATCGATATTGTAGAGTTTGCAGAAATTGATGATCTCATTGAAATGTTTACATTGTGTAACATCCGAAACAAACCATAGCATACATCACAATGTTGTTTTAACATGCAATAAAGAGTATGTTTCGAAGTTATTTTTCTAAGGAGTTTTGATTACTACAATTGCTATTAGCTTTATATTTCACTCTGTTAGATCACATAAACATTTTTAACTACCGGTACACGTTCTTGAAATAAATAATATACCTTACATAAATTGAGTGGTCGATGAAGATAAACTTGGTATACATGTATTTGCTAAACTAATTAAAACTGCCAAAAGAATTCCATAACTGTTACAGAAGTATTTTTCTGCAAACAATTAATGCAAATGAGGTCAATAATACCTAAAGAAAAGCAATTAACTTGAATAAGTTACGGAGTTAACAGTGTGTAACGTCCGAAACATCAGTGGTGTAACATATGAACATTATTAGGCAATGCACTGGTTCCCAATTTTTTAGCATGTATTTTCCTTATATCATCAGTTGTTATAATAAAATAAGTTTGACCTAAGAAAAAAACATTTTACCTATTGAAATTAAACTTGTTATTGTCAAAACCCAAATTTAGAGCTATTTTTCACTTTCAAGTGATACAAAATTTGTATTTTTCAAGATAGAAACTAAAAAATTTGCATGAATAATCTCTGAAACATATTCATAAAGATCCAACATATTTAAAGGTGTTGTTAATAGCAAATGAGTTTTATATCACAGTTATTAGATATGCTATAGTTCACAATAAAATTGTAAGAACTCATAGTATTCATATCTGGTGAATAAATAAGGAAATAGATTAAGCTTCAAAATGAGCATTTCTCATGAATATGAATAGCCCTGATCCTAAAATACACGTTTGAAGTAAGAATACATAATTTCATGTTTGACCCTGTTGTGGACACATTTGGTATATGTTAAAAAAAACCAGTGCCATATGTCGGGAGTAGGCTGACTATATCTGCTATTTCAAATTGTATAAGCTGCAAACAAATGTTTTTACTTTCTTCCCGGCCAGCTTCGCCATATTTGATCATGATGTGGATACCAATAGAAAGATCAACATTAAACTCGTTCTACAGATTTCATTTCTTGGTTTACTCAAAAGTATTTTATTGGTGAAAAATTAGCACTGCATCGTAAAAGGAAGTATGTTGTTGCCAATATTCATACCTAAATATCAACTTAAAAAACTCGTTGACATGATTTTCATTATTAGCATAGAAACTTCAAACTCTTATCTTTAAAATTAGACCCAAATCAAGCAAAATTAGCTATTCTATGAATAAAAATCAAAAATCGGAACAACCCTAAACACCGCTCATTACGTATTCACGAATAAGTCGTTTATGAATACAAAATAGTAAATGGGCGTGAATCGCGATTGAGAATAGAACTTTCAGCACCTCTCCGGGTGCAGTTTAGTGCATAAACGGTGCGTTTCATATGCTTCATAGATGTATCTGCGTTAGCACTGAAAAAATTGTGGATATAATTATCTGCTATTGCATTGAAACATTAAAATAAACCCTTTCAATTTAGATTTTTGTAATGTAACCACCATCACTTGCCTGATACTATTGCACCAAGTAAGCCTATTTCTGAAATGGTGCCTTAGTTATATAAAAACAGCTCAGAAAATTATTAACAAAAATAACATGGATAGGTCTATATATATTTTTTGGGGGGTTGTGGGAGTTTATACTTTTCATGATATGTGAAATATGAAAGATGAAAGTATAAACTTACTCTTTTTTTTATATTTCTTGTACTTTTTCCCAATGAAGACGACTGTGAAAGCAAATTAGAAACAATTTAAATAGCACAAAATTCATCCGTGCGTCACAACTGTGATTTGGAACATGTTCAACATTTCGCCGTTTCGTTGTAATTCGAGGTGAACTCGCCTACACTCGTAACAAGCTCGCACTGCAATCGTAATAACTCGTAGAAATCCGCCACCTCATGAAGAGTGCAGCGCGAGCTTGTTACGAGTAATGCGAGTATATAACGAGTGTAAGCGAGTTCTCCTCGAGTAACAACGAATTCATCTCGAGTAACAACAAATCAGTGAAATTTGTTAACATGTTCAAAATTTTCGCTTATTAGTTGTAACTCGAGACGAACTCGCTTAACACTCGTAATATACTCGGATTACTCGTAACAAGCTCGCGCTGTACTGGTCATAACTCGTAGTAACTCGCCACCTCATGAAGAGTGCAGCGCGAGCTTGTTACGAGTAATGCGAGTATATTACAAGTGTAAGTGAGTTCGAATTATAACGAATCAGTGAAAATTGTGAATGTGTTCAAAATGGGAGCCCTGCTTATTACTGTTAGATATTGAATGGTTTATCCGTTGAGAAATTGGTCAAGAAAATAGCCGTTTGTAGACATGCATCTGCTAACAGTACACGATCACTGTTTTTAGAAACAATTGGTTGAATCGTTTGAACACAAGCTCAAACAAATGGGTCAACCATTGTAAAGTTTTTAGTTTATTTTGCGAAAAAAGTACCATTAACGGCTTCCAAGCCGTTAATAGTACTTTAAAGTAGATATTCATTGATTTTAAAAACTAACTTTATTTTCATTATTGCAAAGTTAAAACTTTGATTCGACCAGGTTATCAAAATTCAAAGCTTGGAAACATTCGAAGTAACGATTATTATAAATCACAAAATGCTCAAATACAGCCCTGGCATAGCACCGGAAGAGCTCTCCGAACGCTGCTGAGATATGTGAGATCACAGTTTGGACATGATTTGCGCAAGCAGACGATGTCCCATGACATCTCATACATTTCCAGTGCCTGTGTTTTCATCTTCTCTTGAGTTCGTTTTCTTACTTCACTACCGTCAGGCTAAATATATAATCTATTGCCTCACTCTAAGGAGAGAAGATGACTGTACTGTTGGGATGTGATCTCTCAGGAGAAATCCATTCAATCCACTACTATAATTAATATTTTAGAGGTTTTAGTCTCCTGAATCTTACTTCTGGAGGTGTATTCTGATGATTTAAAGGAATATTTTTGCATTTGGTAGTATTTTGGAACCAGTATTTTGAACTTGTTTTTAGGCCAACACACTTGACTGTTATGTGCATTCACTTTAGTCAAATGTGTATCAACTTTTGTGTGCAGAGCATATGAGTCCAGCCAAGTGGTCATCATTCTAGCTAAGCATTGGAGATCGATAAGTACACTTTTTCATTGATGCCTTATTATATTGTCTTAGCTACACTTATTATAGCTTGATTCTCTACTTTGGAGCAGATTTTGCTACATTTTGGAGTGCGTTTGGTTCTGAGGTCACTTGTAATTTTTAAAACTAAATTTATCAGATCCAATTCATGCACTTACTGCCTGAGTGTGCATTATCTGTGTACTTGATTTGAATACTTTGGTTGCTATAAGTTGTGACTAAGCTACTGGTTTATCATAATGGCAAGTCGCAGAGCTAGTGGTGTAGAAAAGGGTACTTTTAACAAAAGACCTACCAGAGGAAGTGTTACTAGTGTAAATGATGATTCTAAACGTCGACATGGATCACCCAGGCCAGTAAGGAGTACTAGAGATCCAATTTCTTCAAGTGACTTCGCAAGTAGTTGTGGCTATTGTCACGAATCTGTTCATGAGAATGATCCTGTCATTGAGTGTGAGCTGTGCCAGATCTGGTTCCATTGTTATTTCCAGCAAGTTTCAACTAAACTTTACGAATTACTGGGCGAGGAGCCAGGCATTATTCACTGGTACTGTAATATTTGCAAAGGCCATGCAAGGAGTATGCTCTAAACTATGACCCTACTTCAGAACCAACACGACAACCTCCGGCAGGAGTTTAACGAGTTGAAGAGAGATGTCAATGGATATAGAGAGGAGTGTAGAGGAACCTACAAGACAGTGAACAGAAAGTTGGCGAATATTAAAATGTGGGGAAAAGGACTTGCATCTGGGTTTGAACAAGACATAGTTGACAAAGTTGAAAAACTTATATCTGACAAGTTTGTGGAGATGGAAGAGAAGGAAAGAAGGAAACCTAACCTGATATTTTGTTGGCATTCCAGAGCCAAAAAGTAGTAACCCTGAGGACAGTATGGAAGATGACTTCCAAAAAGTCAAATCGCTAGTCCATAACTCTCTTGGATCATCGCGAACTGCTGAACTTTATATCGTTTGGGGAAAAAGACTGATGCCTCTCGGCCGCTTAAGGTTGTCTTAGAGTCGGAGTTATCAAGAAATGAAGTCCTTCGGAAGTTCAAATCTGAGGTGGGGGAAGGTGATAGACTGATAGTTGTGACTAAGGACCGTACAGGATCGGAACGTGATGCCTACAAGAAGCTTAGGAGTGATCTGAAGGCCAGAAGCGAGAAAGAGGAGCAGAACTTGGTTATTCGTAATGGGCGGATAGTGCAGGTGAAAAGTACTACAATAGGCAATGGTGATGCAAATCTTGAAACCAACAAAGTCAGAGCACAGAAGGTAAACAAACATGCGAATCCTGGTGAGACTTTGCAGCGGAGTTTTCGCAATGACGAAAGTTCCAGAGAGACGGAGTAATCCAGTAGCAACTAATCATGTACATAGTAGCACCAGCACTGTTTCATGCACTAGCACAGAGATAATATCAACTTTTGATAGTGGAGCACAACGGGATAAATCAAATTTTTCCAATCACCATTCTACGAATTTTTGTGATGCACCAAGTGAAGCACCAAGTGAAGCACCAAGTAAAGCATCAAGTGATGCACTAAGTGATGCACCAAGTGATGCACCAAGTGATGCACCAAGTGAAGCACCAAGTGATGCACCAAGTGAAGCACCAAGTGATGCACCAACTGAAGCACCAAGTGATGCACCAAGTGAATCACCAAGTGATGCACCAAGTGAAGCACCAAGCGAAGCAAATTATTACGCTGACAGATTTGATGATTCTTTTCTTTATGTTTTGTATACAAACTGTGATTAATTTCTGAATAAAAGGGAGGAATTTAAGCTAAGACTTCTTAAGAACACACCTGATGTGATAGCACTTACAGAAATATACCCCAAAAATGTTCAGTATGAAATACAATCAAGTGAATTGGAATTAGAAGGATATCAGCTTATTTTTACCTGGAAATTTTTTCTCATGCTCAACGTAATGTCGCAATATATGTGAGGAATGTTTACTCATGCTCTATGGTGGATGTGGATGGTGCCAAATTCAAGGAATCATTGTGGGTACAGTTAGAGATCAAGAACAGGATTGTTTGAGTGGGTTGTATTTATAGATCCCCATCAAGCAGTACTGACAATAACCAGGAGCTTTGTAATTTGATGTCAAAAGTATGTGCTGGTAAACCTGATAACCTACTTATTGTTGGAGACTTTAATTACAAGAACATCAATTGGGATCTTCACCGAGCCGATAGTGGGGCGGATCACTCATCTGAATTTCTCTCCTATGTTGAGGACCTTTACCTCTACCAACATGTGCAGTCATCAACACGATATAGGACTGGTCATGTCCCTAGTCTACTTGACCTGGTGTTCACAAACGAGGAGGATCTTTTATCGCACATTAGCTATGATACACCCATTGGAAAGAGTGACCATATTACATTGAACATGCATTTACTGATTGGGACAGAGAAGAAGGAGGAAGAACCCTATGTCAGAAGTTATTACCATGCCGACTATGACAAGATGAGAGAATCACTAAAATACATTCATTGGGAAGAAGAACTTCACGAACTTACAGGACTGGAGGCTTGGAATTTCTTTGAAAAGACAGTCCACATTTGTATCGAGTCTTATGTTCCACTGAAGAAAAGACGTTCAAAGAGACAACCTGAATGGTTCAACCAACGATGTAAACAAGTAGTAGACTTAAAACACAAATCTTGGAATAAATATCAGAAGACCAGGTGCGATGCTGAATGGTCAACGTACGTTAGTCACAGGAATGTGGCAACTTCAGAAATCAAGAGAGCTAAATCTGACTTTGTAAACAAGATTGCTGATGAAGTTAAAGTCAACGTTAAGAGTTTCTGGCACTATGTTAAAAGGCAAACTAAAACTAAAGGTGCCATTCCAGACCTAATGGATCTTGGGCAAAATCAGACCAGGAAAAAGCAAATAATCTGTTTTTTGGAAGTGTCTTTACACAATAAGACGTGGAATCAATTCTCAACGCACCAAGCAGAACTCATGAATCACTTGAAGATGTAGAATTTCGTACAGAGGATATTTCTGTTCTGCTTTCCAAGCTAGACATTAACAAATCGGCAGGCCCAGACGGGATACACTCTAGAGTGCTGAAAGAACTGCGCTACGAATTGGTTGAGCCTTTCCAGATTATCTTCACTAAGCTTATGAAGAAGGGAAATATACCAGATGTCTGGAAAGAGGCTATTATGGTGCCACTCTTCAAGAAAGGGAGGAAAAACGATCCGACAAACTATCGACCTGTCAGTCTTACATCGATAGTGTGCAAGATCATGGAGAGGATTGTGAGAAAGGCACTGATTGAGCACCTAGAGATTAATAACCTATTGGACGACCATCAACATGGTTTTCGATTTGGCAGGTCCTGCGCTACCCAAATTCTTGAGGTACTTGAAGAATGGACAGCAAAAATTGATAACGGCCATAGTATCGACTGCATCTATTTAGATTACAGGAAGGCATTCGACACTGTCCCTCACAAACGTCTCCTTGTTAAGCTACAAGCCAATGGTATTTCAGGACGCGTCCATAACTGGATAAAGGGGTACTTGACAGGACGATCACAGAGAGTGTCAGTTAACGGTAAACAATCACCATCGTGCCCAGTATCCAGTGGAATTCCACAAGGAAGTGTTCTCGGGCCTATCCTATTTCTTTGTTTTATTGACAATTTGCCTGAGAATGTAAAATCTGGAATTAAACTATTTGCAGACGATACAAAAATCTATAGTGTTGTGGAAAACAGAAGTGATGCCGGAATCCTTCAACAGGATATTCAAGCTGTTCAGAGATGGGCTGAGAAATGGCAATTACAATTCAATGTCTCGAAATGCAAGGTCATTCATTATGGGAGGCGTAACCCGAATTTGACTACACCATAGCAAATGCTGGCGAAGTTAGCAATATACCTGTATCCGACTGTGAGAAGGACCTTGGCGTAACTTTTGACTCTGCACTCTCATTCTCAGATCATGTGGCAGATGTAGCAAGAAGAGCCAACATCAAGTTGGGTATCATAAAGAGATCCTTTTCAAGTCTAAATGAAAAAGGATGGCTTATGCTCTACAAGACCATTATCCGGCCTACTCTTGAATATTGCAACTCGGTCTGGTGTCCCAAGTTCAAGAAAGACGAAGACTTACTTGAAAAAGTGCAGCAAAGAGCTACCCGTCAACTCGCACATATTCGTCACCTACAATACCATGAGAGATTGAAAGCCCTCGGGTTAGAGACACTCATTTACCGAAGACAGAGAGCTGAGCTGATTCAAATCTTACGTCCATGAATCTAGAACCAGAGGCCACAGTATGAAAGTAAGGAAGCCAAAGTGTAAATCTGTGCTTCGTCAAAATTCCTTCTCTGTGCGAAGTTGCAACAACTGGAATTCCTTACCAGACTCAGCAGTCAGAGCAACAACTGTAAAATCCATCCTGTGGAAATATTGGTACAGCCACCCCCTTAAGTACAGTCCATACAAGAGAGATAGCATTACCTGGAGGGGCAAATAAGTTTATCTTTACGCTTCAACATCAAAGTAAACATCAAAGTAAGTAAGTAAACCCCGCGCAGGGTTTTATTTTGATGACAAATGCAGCGATACAAAAATAAAGGAATCTGTCGCTTGTAAACAAAATATGACGCCATTGTATATTCAGCTACACACACCGCGGTATGTTCGGCGTTTCAAGAGGGGACAAATGCCGTTTTTAATATCATTCCGGGGGGTTTTCAATTTGAAAGTCTGGTTTGTTTGATTGTTGATTAACCCCTATCCTGTGTATTTACAAGCAAAAGATTTAAGTTATCAGAATCGGGTCATATCCCCTTTTGAATGGTTTGACATGCTATTACATTTATATACACTAAACTCGTTATAATTTGACAAATAATAGCTTTGCAATTATGTTCATTCTTTATGGGATGTCGTCTGCTTGGGCAGTATTGGTCCATATAGTGACGTCATTAAAACATCGTTATTTTTCCGGTGAATCTCTCGTATATCCCAGCTGCTATGGAGGTGGTTGTATTTTTATTTGTATACATCACCCCATATGTAGTTGACCTAAAACGTATACGATGGCCGTCTGTTAGCTTACCAGTTTCTAGTGATACATTAGTTGACATATTTGTGATTTTCTTTGAATTTCACCTTTAAATAAAATTATCTTTTACGGCTACTAATGAGCAAATGTGTTATTAAAACTGTAAAATATTAAAATATTAAATAAATACATAAGTTGGGTTTTTTGTTGTACGCAGAAAACCTAAGTTTTGTATCCTTTTATCGATATTCGACTTCAAATGCTTTTGTTTTGAAAATCCTTGCAGAAATGTGTCTTAAATGATATCATCTTTCACATTATTTAACAATTAAAGTGAAATTTTGCCATCAAATTGTTTGGGCTCTTACACTTTACATGGGGCTTTAAATATTTGTTTTGATCATTTCTTCAATGATCGCAGGATACAAAAACAAATATACCATGCCTTCTTGTTGAGGTACTAGTTGAAACTATGGGCCTCGGTGACTCCAATTCTACAAAAGGAGTCAAATCTTGCCCATAGTTTTAGCCAGAACCTCTCAAGTCAGTATATATTTGTATACTTTTGTACTAAATGAGATGTAAATACCTACCAAATCCGCCTGCGGGTATAAGTACTCCTAAAACGATCATAGCTACATCTTGGCCTTCCATTTTTGTTTCTGCAAAAAACCATCAATCATGTAAAACGAGAGACTTCAACCAAAAGAAAATCCGTATTGATTTCACTTTTACTATGTAAACCTATCGTAAAATATTTTAAAGAAGCAAACGTGGCATCCCGCAGATAACATTGCCATTTTATTCCTGTGATACCTTTTATATTTTAATCCAACTCTTTAACATTCTGTTTAGTATTAAGATGCCAATCCGGCTTAAACGTATGGGTAATCATCGAAAAAATTACACAAATGATGTTAACATTAATAATGTACCATTAAAACGTAAACCATGCAAGTAATTATGAAGTAAGCTTTCTCTTTACCATGTGTCTATAACTTCCGACCTTTAATTGTCCCGTAAAGGATTTAAACAGAAAAACAATCAAATTTGTTACAAGCTACGATGACAAAACAAGTAAGCATTGTACCCAATAAATATCTCACCGAAACATTTTGTTTTGTCAGGGGAAATTCTTCCATTATCGCAGATTATGGTAGTCCTCGCCGTATCACCGTTCGTGTATCCACCGTTGCATGTCACGGTAATGGCAGTTCCATGGGGAACATGAGGGTTTGGTGAAATCGCATCTGAATTAGGGATCTCTGGCATGCTACAGGGAGCTTCATGTAAAAACATTTAAAGAAATCGTTATTATAATCATATTCATGCAATGATAACAACGAATCGGAACTAATGGTTGTAATATGATGGCATAGAATCAGAACAACATTTCAAAGGATTATTTTGCCATTTTTAATAAGTTTTGAGTCTCGACGCCAGTAAAGTTACATTCGTTCGTACCTGTCATCTTCAATCAATGTACTGTATCGTGCGACGTATTAGTGACTTAAGTAGGTATCAATCAAAAGTTACTCTTGATAAAGAGCATCTTTAGTATTAAAGATTTTCTTCATTTTGAGACATACAGTAATGCCTTTACAGATTCATGACGCTAAGAAAATACATTGTCG